ATCAATCCAGATTTGGGTGAAAACACACGATCATTACAAGGACTACACAAAATTATCTGTTTCAAACAAATAATGATGATATTTGGGGAATGACAAGCCATTTTCATCGCTACTCTTGCAGTGCTACAGGAAGATGGGAAGCAGGAAGGCCGTGATGAGAGAACAACGTGGGAGAACAAGATGAAAAAAGTGACAACAGAGGCCATCGCAGCAGCAAAAGAAAAAGCAACAGCACCAGTAGCCACAGAAGCGGACAAGACCAAGCCGCAGATGACAGCGAGCTGCAGTACAAGAGTAGCAACCATAGACGCAGCAGCAACAGAGTCAGTTGCGACAGAGGCAAGAGCAGCAGAACAGACGCAACAGCAACCGAGGCAACAGCAGCAGTTGCGACAGGGGCAGTAGACCGAGATGCAGGCACTAGCGAGCTGAAGGCAGGACTCGAGACGCTGCCGATCACCCGAGACACTGCTGCCGAGACGAGACCGACCACAGGAGACAAGCTGCTGGACACACAGGAAACAAAACTGATGTACTAGTACAGTTGACATTAAAGTACTAGCTGTTATCCTGTTCTGCCTTCTATTCCTAACACTTACTGGAGGACATAACCGGTGTTCACACAGGAACACACTCAGTTAAAATTAATATGAATGCGCCTGAATCGATCACTGTGCGTTAAAGGTCGTGGCTTCGAGGGCTTGCCAACTGACGGGGAAACTCGGGCCACCTACGTTGCTGCTCCTCTAGTACGCATATGTTTGCGTGTGCGTATGTGAGGAGGTGGAGGACTGAGAGGCAGGCTGCAATGGCTACTTCTTATTGTGGTCTTTATGGCGCATCCGCAAGCGCGGGAGCCTATCTAGCGAGTTGGCTGAGTCAAGCGGGCGTGTGTTGAGTATTTATCGTGCCAGTCACCTACAACCTCCCTCATCCCCGGTCTTTTTGACTTTGTCTTTAAACCAGAAACAGAAGTGGGAGCGGCGAGCGTGTGGTTAGATTCCCCGCACGTCTGTTTTAAATCCTGTTTTTCATTCGCGGTAGTTCCCTGCGTTAATTCAGCTTGCTGTAGTCTTCGTGCAGATTGCCTCAATGTTTGCTTCGGCTTGCTTTAGCGTTTGCCGTGGTTTGTTGGAGCATGCGGCTGACCATCGTCGAAATCGACAGGAGAACTGCGTCCGTGTGTGTGTGAGTCATTTGTAGGACTATTGCTCTTCTTGCCGTACCTCAATCGAACCTTCAGCCTAGCCTTAGGATACCTTCGCCATAAGCATCTGCTTACTAGTGAATCTAAGTCTCATTATTGGTGTCGTTTTTAGTACTATTGCTCTATTGGTTACCGGGTTATTGAATTTGCCTATCAGCTACCTGCATTGCTGTATTTGTTTAACGATGTCCGATGCGTGTTTTGCGCTGTGCTGCTGCTGAGACCTGACAGCTAGGCGGTTCTGAGTGGCGTATAGCAACTCGATAATGGATATCGTGACTGCCCCACGCTTTTTGCCTAGCATGCAGTCCTGGTGTGAGATAGGCGGTAGTCAGAGCACTGGGGTGAACTAACGCAGTAAGAGTGGCTGTGCAGGAACTCTAGCGTGTTGACCTTAACCAATGTCTCCTAGCCACGTATAGCAACCCAAACATCGGCTTTGCCCGGCTGTCATCATTGGCGAATCGTTGCTGGAAGACGCAACCTGACCTATCACCTACGTTACTGTACTTTATCTTGACGTCTCCTGTACTGGCAATACTGCGTATGCTCACTTCTACTAGCATCAGTAGTATTTGCTTATTATTTCCATCGATAATAAATTAATACTAACTCTCAGGCAACATCAGTCTTGTTATTTGCTACATGTTGCTACTATTGCCCTTCTTGTCGTTAGTGTTACTAGTACTATTACCCGCAGTCACAATCACACTAGTCGCACCTCCAGCGTAGTCTTTTAGCTTCAGCGCAACCTTTCCCATCGAAAGCGTTTAGCACTCCCTAAAGATCCTCCACTTAAGGAAAGGTTGTGGTCTCGTTCTTCTTTTGGTTTTTTTCTTGTTTCCTCTCTTGTTTTTCTTCCGTGCTTTCTCTCTCTACTTCCTTTCCCCTTACTTCGAACCTGCTCTACAATGCTCGTCCTCGACTTGTTTTCCTGCTTAGCACTTCGTCCATCCCACCGCAGGCGACCAATCAGCTAGTGGGTGGCCTGTTGCTGGCGGTTGGGTAGAGAGCGAGCTCGACCCTCAGCGCATTGCTTTCCTCACTTAAACCAATCTGATGCCCTTTAAGCTATAAAGGTGCGCTAAGAACCGCGGCTTGGAGGGTTGCCAAGTGCAAGGTATAACTTGGAAACCGCAGTCTGCCTAATTTGAGTCTTGTTGCGTGGAGTGGTTGGCTGAGCCCCAGGCTCTACTACTCCTTTTTAATATGGCCTTTCTGGCGCTCCTTAGCGGAAACCTACGTACCGAGATGTGCTGTTAGAACGTGTGTTAAATGTTGGTCACGCCAGCCACCTGCGCCCTCCCACATCACCCGCTTTCTTGACTTTTTTCTTCACATCAGTTCCCGGTGCAGGAGCGGTGAGAGAGTGGAGTAGATTCTACGCGAGTCTACTTCCACTATAATCACGCAGGAGTCACCGTGTAGTTTCACCTTACTGAGGCTCGTGGTAGACATCCTCAAGAGTGACGGTCGAACTGTCGTGTCAGTGTGTACGTGGCACGGTAGATCGGCGGACCTGCCAAAAAAGGTGGTGCTAAAACATTTCTAGTAGTGGTCCATTTACCTCCTGAAAGCGGTCAACGTCTTACATCGACGTGTCTACAAAAAACTCTCACATCTTAAAAGCACCATTTCTTAAACGCCTTGTATACCTACAAGAAAAGACGGCAGGTGGGCGGGGGGGGCGTTGCCGAGCTTAGGCTCGGAATACATTAGTGGGAGTAGAACTTGGAACTGGCTGAACCACGGCTGAAAAAGTGCTTCCAGCTAGCCGCACCAATCTCCTCTGCATTTCCGCCTTCGGTAGTCGCGGCCTGCTGGCAGCCAACAGGCGTCGTCTCCATCGGATATTCTCATCCGTCGGCCGGAAGCTATAGCCCGTCGGAACGCGTTCGGCTACTCCAGTCTGTTGAATCACTGACTGGTTGCAATAGCCTGCAGGGCATGGATGAATACTCAAACTACGGCGCAATCCCGTGTTTTCTGCTGCGGCAGCGGTGGCATTCACTTCAAGTCCTGACGGAGAACGGGGGAATGATGAAGGGGAATCAGACAAGATTTTAGGGGATGGCGGGGGGCATAAAAGACAAAATTGTACATCCAGCCTCCCCAAACTCCTAAAGGCACTTGCGTACCTGTCTGCCAATCTTAGAGGGGTCTGCGATGTAAAGGCTCGCTGAAATATCGGCGGCAGGCTAGGAACAATCAGAGGGTCTTGCAAAAACTAAAATGGAATTGTGTGAGGGAAAATCGACAGCTAACTTGATTAATCATTCAAAAGCCTGTCAATGCTGGGGTCAAGTGATATTGGAGACAACTAGCCCAACGAGATTTCTCACCAACACTGATAGTTCGACCGTCGATTTCGACGATATCCACTGCGAACTTGAAGCACACGGTGATTGTGGTCGATTATAGTGAAGGCAAAGTGGCCGGATTTATCCCACTCTCTGACCACCACCGCACCGGTAACTGGCGCCAAGACAGAGTCAAGAAGGACAGAAATGCGTGGGGCGCAGAAGGCTGGCGAGACAAACACTCAAAACGCCTACCAATTAGCTCGTCTTGTTAGGTATGCTTCCGACAGGGAGCGCAATCAAGGCCACATTAAAAAGGAGCCATTTTATCTGGCTATCAGCCCGCAGCCAGCCACGCCACACAAGAAGACCCACACTTGGCCGACTGCAGTGTCCAAGTTACCCGGCCGGCTGGCACCCCTCCAAGCCACGGCTATTAGCGCACCGCGATAAATTCAGGTGCATCAGATTCTTTAGATTGAGGAGTCCTCATTAAAGTGAGGAAAGAGACGCGTCGAGAGTCATCCACACTGCCTCCCCCACCGCCAGAATGTTACGCAGCCTACGGCGGAAAAACAAAGGGAGTTAGCCTTCACCCCTGACATCAATTATTTTATTACGAAGAACAAAGCAAGATAGGAGTGTATGCAGAACATTTCATAGTGTATAAGTACAAACATTCACTTGCAAACATAGGAAGCAATCAGACGAGTCGTGAAAATTAAGATGTATCAGTAAATCCCACGTATCTGCTGATCGGATATCATGAAAAAACATATATTTTTGGAAAAAGTTGTGTTTATCCCGAGATCTAGTGAACAAACAACTATGGAGTGGTCAAAACTGTCCAGTGCGTGTAACAATGACACTGTCCGGACGAAAACCAGAGTTTGGAGCAGAGACATATTATTTACCTGAGATCTGGCATTCGAAACGAAAATGAATACTTAATCAATATTACTTTTATTAGGATATTAGCCGGACCAAATGCTAGCAACTTTTTAGGTTTTCCTAAAGCATCGAGCCTAGCCAAATGTTTTTCATGTTTAGCTCTGACCGCATACAGGCGTGACTGTCCACGCCAGATGACCTTAACCTCTGTGCGCCACTGGTCGCAGTTGTCCCAATGCGCCAATCAGGCTACAGGCGAAC